TCAACATAGCTGGGTTAGTCATGACCCACTTTGGTAGTCTGAAAAATATCAATCACTATAATGCTTCGTTCCCTGCATTCAAGCCATCTCTTTCTTCATTTCTCTTTTGTATCAAAGTTCACCTTTTCTGCGGCTGTGATGGAGGAAGGCGGTTGTGAGGGCCTGGTGCAGCGGCTGGTGGCATGGTGGATCCTAATGTCCATTCCTCTTGGCTGTGGCTTTATCGAAAGCTTCATCGTCGGGAGATCAAGTCCGTTCCTCCTGGCAGCGGTGCAGCTTTTTCAGTGCTGGCAGTATGGTGGTTCTGGTCCATTTCTTGTGGCAATGGCAGTAATGCGGCAGCTTCAGGTGGTGACTGAAGTGACAATAGTTTCAGCGCTGGCAACTTGGTGGGTCTGGTCTGGCACTCCTTGCTATAGTGGTGATGTAATGGCTTTGATGTTGGCTTCGCCAGTGACAGTGTGGTGGGTCCAGTCTGGAAATCCTTGCTTTGGCAGCCTCAGGGGCAGCCTTGGCAACGGCAACCCATAGCCACTCCATAAACCCAGGAGCCATGGAGGGAACAAAACATGAACTTGTGAGGTATCAGATCAAGCATTATTGCATTGAATGGTATAGCAAGTTCAAACCTTCTTTAGCCATGCCTCAAAATTGAAGTCCTTTGTTTCTGTTACCAATCTAGTGGATTTTCTCTGCCCAAGGCCTTGTCATCTTCACTTGAATCACCTCTACACACACTTCCTGTTGGAAGCAAATGAAAAGGAAACAGGAGCAAGAGCCATGATCAGTGCCTTCTCATATACATAAGTGTTCAGGCTAATTTCTTCCTTCTTAGACAGTCCTTCAGAATTGAGACTGACTTGCTTCCATTCCAGTTTAAAGGATTGTACTACCACCTGAAACTTTGTCTTAACTATGTGTCAACTATTTCTTTCTGTAAATTCTGTCATTAAAATGGCACCGAATTGTGTCAACTTATACACAGCTCACTATATTTTCATAAATACAAGTGACAATAAATTGCTATTCTATTCTATCTTCACTGCCACTTGCCTTATCAGACCAATGGATGCTAATTTTCTCACCCAATTACATTGCTTATGCAGCTCTTAATCAGTGTTTTCTAAATATATAATTTACATTTGTTACATTTCTTAAAATGCGGACTATCACTGCTTTACGCATTGAAATTTTCTCTTTTCATTTAACTTCATTACTTTTTATCCCTGTTTTCAACTATGTCCCATAAATCTGCATAAAATGACTGACTGGTGCAAAGTTTTAGACCACAAGCATGTCGTTTGGGGAAATGGATGAAATTACAATGATCCAAGTTGGTTCATTGTTGGTAAAGGGTAGAATGATAATTTCCCACATTCTGTAGTTACTCCACCAGTTGAGCTTGAAACCTATTCCAATTCCATAAATAAGATGCTAACTAAAGCAGTCAGGAGTTATGGTATAAAGACAAGACAGCTTTGTAGATTTCAGGTGGTAGTACAATCCTTTAAACTGGAATGGAAGCAAGTCAGTCTCAATTCTGAAGGACTGTCTAAGAAGGAAGAAATTAGCCTGAACACTTACGTAAATGAGAAGGCCACTGATCATGGCTCTTGCTCCTGTTTCCTTTTCATTTGCTTCCAACAGGAAGTGTGTGTAGAGGTGATTCAATTGAAGATGACAAGGCCTTGGGCAGAGAAAATCCACTAGATTGGTAACAGAAACAAAGGACTTCAATTTTGAGGCATGGCTAAAGAAGGTTTGAACTTGCTATATCATTCAATGCAATAATGCTTGATCTGATACCTCAAATTTACATTTGTATCAACCCGTAAATAAGCTTTTGCACCTTATTTACTAAGAATCTATCCACTTCTGCCGTAAAAATATTCAAGGACTCTGCTTTCATCACCTTTTCAGGAAAAGTGTTGTTTCATCTCTGTTTTAAATAGATGTCTTCTTATTTATAAATAAAACCTCCTAGTTCTATACCCTCTTATAATAAGAAACATCCCCTCCACATCGAACTTCTCGAGACAGCTATGGAAGGCATTAGTTTGTCCATAGCTGGAATGCTGTGAATAGTGTTGGGCCACTTACCTAATGAAAGGTATAGTGGCATTGGAGGCAGTCCAGATAAGGTTCAGTAGGCTGGTACTAGAAATGGAGGAGCTGTCTTATGAGACGAGGTTGAGTATTTTGGAATTTTGATTCATTGGAATTTTGAAGAATGAGAGGCAACTTTATTGGAACATACAAGATTCTTATGGGACTTGAATGAATAGATGCAGAAAGGTTGTTTCCCCGAATGAGAAAGTCTAGGACCGGAGGACATAATCTCAAAGTAAGGGGCTGCAGCCTGTTTAAGGCAGAGATGAGGCAGAATTTCATCTCTCAGAAGGTACTGAATGGTGGAATCCCATCAAGGCTGGGTCACTCAGTTTGTCCAAGGCTGAGATGGACAGATTTTTAATCAATAAAAGCCCCAAGTGTCATGGGGAAAAGGGAGGAAAGTGGAAACAGAAGCAGAAATCACCGGAAAAACTCTGCAAATCTGGCAATATCTGTGGAGAGAAAGTGGAGTAACATTTCTGGTTCAGTGACCCTTCTACAGAAATGAGGATTATCTGAGGATCTGAGATAATGTGAGGATTATCAGATCAGCCATGACTGCTGAATGGCTGTTATCTGCTCCTACATCTTATTGTCTTACATGTTTCAATCAAATTGCCTCTTACAAACTGTAGTGGATATAAGCCTATTCTGTCCAAACTTCCCTCATAAAACAACGGTGTATTCCAGGTATAGTCTGGTAAATTTTAGAATATATGGGCTAACAGGGAGATTTAATGTATTTTCAAAATTATAAAGTGTTTAAGTACATTTTTACTGGGCGGGCGAATGATAACCTGAGTGGACAGATTGTAGGATCCATTCACAACATCTCAACTGAAAGAAGGCATCTCAGACATTCAGCTCTTGGTCAAAGATAGTAGGCCATTTCTGAAGAAGGGTCCAGACCCGAAACGTCAGCTTTCCTGCTCCTCTGATGCTGCCTGGCCTGCTGTGTTCATCACCTCTACATCATTATCATCAGCTCTTGGTCAAGCCTGCTATGTTTTGTGCTCGGGTCATGCAGTGAGTTTTGAACTTAGATTTTTAGACTCAGAGGCTGGAGGGCTGCTAATTGAACCGGATTTTTCTTTTGTGCAGATGAAAAACTTGATACAAAAACAGAAATTGCTCGAAGAGTTCAGCGCCTGTGCAAAGAAATCAGTTAACTTTTCGGGTCGAGTGACCCTTCCTAAGAACTGACAAACTTGATGAGTTTAGTCTAAGTTGGTGCATTTTTTAAACTTTTTAATACGCTAAACCTGTGGAAGAAACAAGACACACGTGATAATGTGACAATAGGCATAATTTGGCCGTGGCAAATATGAGGGGTTTTTAAAACCGTTGTGTTGCCTTGCTCAATCTGACTGGTTTCAGTGGCACTAAACTCTGCTTTTCCGGATTGAATCACTAGGTGGCATGCACAGAAGGAGAATGTCCATCCGAAACCACGGCCCGAACAAAATAGAAGTGTGAAATGAGTGACCGATCGACTTTATTTAAATAAAACAGAAAGTGAAGAGTCATTTCGGACTTGAAATGTTAACTGCTTTTCTTTCCATAGATGTTGCCAGACCTGTCGAGTTTCCTCAGCACTTTCTGTTTTTATTTCAAATTGCCAGCATCCGCAGGATTTACTGCTGTTTGACCAGTTTACTGAAAGGAAAATGTAGTTTTCTATTTTAGAAGTGGTATTTGCAGCTTTTGATAACACGCTCCAGCCATGTCAATGGAAAACACCAGCATGAAAACGAAAATACTGCCGGTGCTGGAAAGCTAAAATTACATAAGAAAACAGCAAGTGCTGGACTCAGCAAACAGGAATTAAACTGAAACGACTTTTCTTCACGTATATTTTCTGTTTTCATTTTGAGTTTGCACAACGGTTTGTTGAAAGTGAGTTATATTAAATTCTGTCTGTAGCCGGTTCAATTTCAGTTTCAGATTTTTGATTTAGTCAAATAATTTCTGTGGCTGGACCACGATGAATTGGAAGCAGAAAATCTGGAGAAACTCGGCAGGTCTGGCAGCATCTGTGGAAAGAGACAGACCAGCACTTTCTATTTTTGTAATATATAGTATAAGCTGTTATATGTATTAATTTAACCAAAGCTGGTTTAATCCAGAAGTATATGACGATACATGCAGAGGCACTCAATCGTTTAATAAACTGATCATATAAAACGCTGGTGATGTGTCTTTCGATGTGGAATAAATTGATAAGACATCTCTAGTATGCTTGTAGCAAATCCAAGGGCATCGAACAACTTCAGAGCTGAACGATGAGAGGAAAAATACCCTTATTACCTGTTCTGCAAAAGTCGATTCACCGGCCAGTGTATTCGAAAGAGGGAGAGAAACCCAAGATTTCACCCCCGCCCCCTGCAGAAATAAACACTGCTAGACTGAACATTTCCGGTTAAACACTGTCCCATTATCAAGGAGCAAGGAATGCAGCAGATAACCGCTAAAATAACACTGAGTTAATAGCCAACTCGGAAAGCTGCTCCCTGGTTAGAATGTTTGATTTGAAACGGATGTAGTGACTCCCAAAGACAATATAACTTCGGGTCTATAGCTTCTGAAACGCATGCATCCGAAGTTTTAGAATTTAAATAGGTTCATGAACTTCAAGAGAGAAAACAAACTTCAGCGCTGCAGCAGAGTTCTTTTAGCTCCTTCACAAATGGTAAGCGGGGGGAAGATACAAGCAACGAATCTAAGCATTTATTTTCCCTTGGAAATGTCCCACCCCCACACACACACACAGAGCAGCCAGACTGATGAATGGGGAGGAGTGGAGAGCGCAGCAAAAATCCCCGCCTCCGCTTGCGCAAATGGAACGTTGTGTCGGCCGTCTGGGTTGTCAATCAGGTGATGTAACAAAGGGTTTTGGAGTGTTACCTGCTGCGAGGTTCCAATCGTTCATTCACAAGATTTGAGGAGCAGGGACTGTGTGTAAGAGAGCGCGCCATACACAGGAGCTCGCTGGAGAGCTACAACCTTAGGGCTCGTGTCTATTTATTTATATAGATATATATACACACACACACACACATAAATCATATTTATATTCAATAGAAAAGCTTTGTTTTTGTTTCTGTCCCCGTCTCAAAGTTTTGCATTCTGTCGGTTCACAATGCGCTGGACAATGGGAGCACTTTCAATGGAGCAGGGAGTCGGGTTGCTGTGGACTGGCTGCTTGCTGCTGGAGTGGCTGGCGGTGGCGGGAGCGGCGGGCAGCCTACTGCTGGACACCGGCGACATGCACTCGAGCTTCGTGCACCGGCGCCTCAAGCAGCACGAGAAGAGGGACATGCAGCGGGAGATCCTCTCCATCCTGGGGCTTCCCCACCGACCACGGCCGCACTCGCACGGAAAGCAGGACTCGGCGCCGCTCTTTATGCTTGACCTGTACAACGCCATGTCCAGCGGCGGAGGCGGCGAAGAGGAGGAAGAGGATGGCGAGGGCTTCTCGCACCGCTACAGAGCCGTGTTCACCACGCAGAGCCCGCCGTTGGCCAGCTTGCAGGACAGCACCTTCCTCAACCAGGCCGACATGGTCATGAGCTTTGTGAACTTGGGTAAGGCGAAACTTCCTCTACTCCTGCATACTTGCATCAAAAGTCATTTTGCAGTTGTCTTCCTCCCTTATCGCCCTTTTTTGTGGTAAATACGATGATAAGGGTGCAGGGCTGTATTCTTTCTCTCTTTCTCTCTCTCTCTCTCTCCCCCTCCCTCCCCAAAAAAAAATGGATCTGGGTGCAGGAAAAAGATTGATTTATTTCACCTTCTTTTCTTCCCCATCCCCCACCAGCATCTAAGAGCGCCCCAGTGCCAGGCACTTAAACCTCTGGATGGGACTGTATGTACCCGAAGCAATATAGCAAACGTGCCCCATGAGCACACTCAACACTCAGCATTTGTGTAATACGCGAATGTCGGCGTCCAATAGTTAAGAGGTGTTTCCAAGAGTTTAGTTAGCCTTGGAATTTAGTCACTCATCCTGTTAAACGGTCTTGAGAATGAAGTGAATGCAGTTGCAAGTCCTAATTTAGCAAATTATCAAGTGATTTTTGTTTGTTAATATATATGTATACATATAAAATAAACGTACCATTTTGCTGATATTTAAAAAAAAATGTTTAAGCTTATACTAGTGGCCAGGAAAGTGCCTATTCAGTATCAGAAACGTTACGCTGAAAGTGTGGGCGGGTGGAGCTATTAAAATCTTAACCCAATTTTTGGAGTTCAGAAGATTGTTATCCTTCGCATGGCTGGCTGTGCACCTGTCGCCCGTGTCGATTTCAGGCAAAAAAAAAGTGCGATTCTCCTTTTTTTAAACTGAGAGTTGGACTTCGTTCATAAATTAGATTTAAGTAAATCCATGGCACACAATGGAACAACATTAAATCCCCAAGGTGTTGCATACCTGCACCTGCGATATTTTGTCTTTGAAGATACTGTGTAATTACCTGTAAACATGCAAACTCAGTGTCCGGCCCAGGGATATTTTAATTCCCCTGCCCACTTCTCCTTTTCTAATATGAGACTTCCCCTGACTGCACTTGTACTTTTCTTTTAACACAAATGACTGGCAATGATTTAGTCAGGATTTCTGAGACCAAATGTTGACATCAGACTCTTCTGAGTTGATTTGCCACACATCTTTAGCTAACGAGTAAGTCCGCAGTCGAGCCAGTCACTGGGTTCCGAGCAGGAAAGGAGCTTTTCTTTAAAAGAGCCTTGTTCATGATGGCTGGTAATCTGCGTGTTAAAACAGGTTCCTGTGGGGTTGGTAGTATTTATCTGCGGTCAAAACATCCCTTGCTCAAGAAAGTTAAAGTATTTGCGGTTTTAAAAAAAAGGTAGAAGACATATCAATTGCAGAAGCCAAAATAATAGCTTTACATTTAGCCACTGGAAGTGAATACCAGTAGCCTGCTGATTTGAATGGACAGGGAAGGTTGGTTGCTAATTGTTAAGGACACTATTCTGTTCGACCCTTAACCCCACTCAGACCCCCAAGAGTCTGAAACTTGAGTCAAATAGATGCTTTGAATACATATATGTAACTGATTTTATCAGAGCTTTGCAGTTCGAAAGCTTTGTATTCTTTCAGTTGTGAAGAATATAGGATTTGCCCATCATTGTTGTTAAGAAAAAGTCTTGCATTTTCGTAGAGCCTTTTATCACCTTTGCATTTTGAAGCACCCACCAGCCAATTAAATCCATTTTGGAGCTGTAATCTCTGTTCACTGTGGTAGCAGGCAGGTTGGTAATGACCATGGTAACTTGTATTGTGGAATAAATGGTAGCCAGGTCTTTTGGGAGAATTCCCTGACTCTTGAAATGTGGGATCTTTACACATACCTGAGAGAGTGGATGAGGAGTCAGTTTTAAAGTCTCATTTGATAGATGGATGCCTAATAGATGCCACTGAATTTCGTGGTTCTCCCATCTGTTATGGTGCGACATTTAATAACTAGTACTTGCTGCCTTTAATTACCCTGAAACTGATGTATGATGCAAGGCTGTAGAAACCAGCATCAAATTGTTCATTTAAAAAAATGAATTGTGTGCCTATGGTCCTTCCCTGAAGGAGATAGATCAAGGTTCCATGTTAGAGCTAGGGATTGTACAAAATCAATCTTTTCCATTCAGTCCAGCACTAAATAATGCATTTTGTCTAGTGTTGGAGTATCCTGTAAGATTAACAGTGGACTGGGGGTGTTAATCTATCTTTCTTGTGCAGAGAGAGATCCTCCTTGCTTTTTGTTCCAGCTGGCTGGAATTAAGTTGTTGAGTTTGGTGCATGTGTTGTACAAATAGGATCTTCATTGTGCCTTTTTTATTTCAATAAATCAACAATAAACATTAACACATGGGAGAATAAATATAGTGAATAAGATGTTGGGGGCAGTCACAAAGTAATATTACACTCCAGGGCTCCTAAATTAAGGGCGAGAAGCATGACCAGGCAGTTTGTGTTGGAGCAGGCAGCATTATATTTTTGGTGTTCATTCTTTTCTGATGTATAATTCTGGCATTTCAGAGAACAGGTAATTTATTATTTTAACCAACGAAGTTAATATCTTGTGCTGTCAGTTTTTAGCAATTAATTTAATATGAATGACTGGGAACACTAACGTAAATAAAACTTGACAACATGTTTTATATTTAGCTGTTGAAGGGAAATCTAATTTTACTACTATTTGTAAAGAGTGCCAATGAAGGTTGTTCACCACAAATATTCTCTGGATGAGTACAGTATCCATAATGGTCAGTTGTGTGTGTGTGTGTGTGTGTGAGGAAGAAAAATTATTTCAATTTTGCGGTACTTCTCACAACCATCTCAGATGTCTCAAAGTGATTTACGGCCAAAGAAGTACTTTTGAAGTTTAGCCAGTTGTTGTAATGGAAGTGATGTGGTGAAGGATCTGCACATTGCAAGTTCCCACAACACAAACAGCAAAGTGATGATAATCGGATGTTCTGTCTTTTTTTTTTAAAGCTGCAGTTTAAGGGATACATCTTGGCCAAATAACCCATCTGCTCTTTTTCAATACAATGCCACAGGAATCTTTTACATGTATTTGAGCAGGTAGATGGGAACTTCGTTTAACATCTCATCCATGGGGCAGCACTCCCTCAGTTTTTTTTAGTCGCACCTTTTTTTTTAAATCAGAGATTGTTCAGAGATGTTGTAACACACCGCTGGAGCAGGTGGGATTTGAACCCAGGACTCCTGATTCAGGGGTAGAGACATGACCACTCTGCCATGGGAGGGCCCCCAGCTGAGACTTTTTTTACTCAAGCTCTGGGTAAAATTGTGACTAAGATAACGCTAATGCAGAAAATCATAAGATTGCTTTGTTATCAGAAATGCAAAAAAGTGGGGGAGGGAGATGCAGAGGCGGTTCAGAGAATGTCATAAAAGAAAGGTCTGAAGAGAAAGAAGACTTGCATTTACGAGCACTTTTCATGTCCCAAGGTGCTTTAGAATCAGTACAATCCCTGTTGTAATGTTGAAAGTTTGTACATGTAAGGTGTACTGAGGTTGTAAAGGATTCTTCACTGGAGGGCAGTATAGATCAGGGAGGTAAAGGGGATTATCAAGTAGTGGGTTTGAGTACCGGACATGGAGGGTAAAATTTTAAGTGATTTGAATTTTTATGAAGGAACGGAGCCTGCAAAGCTAACTAGAACAGTGTAGGAAATGCCAGTTGTATACACATTAATTAGGGTTTCAGCAGTGGGAGAATGTAACATATGATCTAGCAGCAGGCTATTGGGGCTGTGGTTGGATGCAGCTGGGGTTAAACAGTTTTAGTGGATGAAATGTGACATTTCAAGCACTCTCCTAACTGGAACAGAATGGTTGCATATCCTCTATTCAACCTGTGCAAGTGACTTGGGTAATTAAGGGAGGCATAGAAAGTATGAAGAGTTTTTAAATGAGATTTGAAAACAGCATTCAACTGAATTACAGTTGTAAAATCTTAAGTGATTTAATATCATCCGGTATTAACACTGAGATTTTCTAAGAAAGCATTGGAGAGGTAGAAGTTGTGGTTGTTGACCTTTCCTGTGGAAGCTGGCCCCAATCTATGAAGTGAAACTGTCGAAATGAACCATGGAGTTTGTATGATTGATCTTCTCAATGCTTTCTGGGTGAATGATCAGAATGATGAATTTAGAACTGGGGGAGGGACTTGGTATACGTTGGACCATCTATCTGATGTCCAGTCTTGAGTGAACAATAATGTCATTCACTTAAAGATCGGAAGGACAAAACCATCATCCATGGTTCCTATCACAAGCTCTCTGCTGTCATCTGAATCCCACTCACCAGTACTGTTTAGATGGTAGACTAAGGTTCAACCACACAAACTGAGCATTTGATTCTATATCATTCAGCCCAAAGACACTTCTATTTGCGTCTCCATTATTAAACTATCTCTACCCCATCTTCAGCCCGTTGAAACGTACCTTTGTCATCTCCTACCTAATTTCATCCATTGCCTTCTCTGCTGGCTTCCACACTTTATAAACTTCAACTTATCCAAAACTCTGCAACACTCCCTCTTGCTAATCCACCCCACCCCCTGTTGATTCACATTTGCCTTCCAGTGGCCCAACCATTCAAATATAAAGTTAAAGTTTTATTATGGCATTGGCCTTCCCTATCTTTGTAACATATGTCAATCTCTCAGATCCTACTCTGAACTCAGCACCATCTTTAAATATCATCTAGTCTATTATCTCCACTCTTTGCCATTAGTAGTTGAATTTAAGCCACATAGATCCCATTTTCCATATCTCTCTCTCTCTTCTCTCCTCTCCCCTTCCCTTCAGATCTTCTTTAAAACCTAACGCATATTGAATTGTATTTAATAAAGTTGATAAGCAAGAGAGATGGCTATTGAGTTACTGTGTGTTACCTGAAAATAGTACATGCCAAGAAATTTTAGGCTGGCTTATCAGGAGTTGACATTACAGTGAAGTTAGTTTTAAGTTTAACACAGTGATGGTTTATTTCTCTTATCCTTAAAAAGCTAATTGGCAAATTTTTAAAAATTAG